ATATATATATATATTCATAATTTGAAATTTTGCTTATTTTTATTTAAATGGTGTTTTGAGTATGTTATCTAAGTTTAGATTTTCTTTTTTATTGTCTTTTAAGTTGTTTCATTTATAATTCTTTTTTTTTTCTCTTCTATTTCAATGTCTAATTTAAATATTCTAGTTCCTATATTTTCATAGTGGGCTTAGGAAATTTAATTGTATTACTTAAATAGATGAATAATTTTTTAATTTTATTTGATGAAAAATAAACAAAAATCGTTACATGTATAGTTGTTAGTGTTGATGATAAAAATTCATCAACAGAATAATAACGAATTTCGTAACATTATGCATGAATTAAATGATCTAAAACGTAATTAAAAGTGAAATTAAAGCAATTGAAAAGATGGAACACTCGAGAATTATAGCGGTCCACCCTCGATTTGAGAGCTATATATCCATTGTAGGGATGAGAGAAATTTCACTATTTTCAGAGGAATTACATGCTCTAATGCTCAAGATGAGACTTAGGAATTTTCTTATCTATGATCCCTTATTTATACCCTTAGGTCACTGCTCCTGCTTGTTTCTTTATTCAAATTTGGGATATTTCCCTTATCTTTTGGGATGATTTCCCAAAAGATAAAGATTACAATCAGTCAAGGTAATTTTCTTATTTAAATTTCATATATTCATATTACAAATAGTAAGTCTTGAAGGGAATCCTCAAGATCTTCATCCTCGCGTAGCCTCAACTTCATAAATGCTTCTTTTAGGTTCTTTGCTTATGTTTGTGAGTGCGGTCAGCCTTACATCCATCCTTTATGCTTCTCACAACAGTCAACATCCTACTTATGTCTGAAGCTTCTTTGTAACAGTCGACTCCTAAGAATGTTGTTTGCTGACATGGCATCTAGGGTTGAGTTTTCCTTGATCATTTAATGTTCTCCTTTATGACCCGCGGGTCCCACTCAGTGTCTATTTTAAGGTTTTGTGTTTTACCCTATAACAGTTAGTATAATCCTGATAAAAAAAATTTAGCCCCTCCTACCAATAAATCCTAGCTCCGTCAATGCCAGAGACTGTCAATAGAGGAGCCTAATGTGTGCCACAATACACTTTGATTTTGTCATTCTTAGCAAACCTAGCCTACTTTGTCAAATGGTGTTGAGAACTCTCTTAATTTTCAGGAATCGGCATGAGCAGGTGAAAATCAGAGAAGAAAAGTCAAAGGAGAGCTGGGCTACAACTAAAAGACTTGGAGTTCAGAAAAGAAATTAAAGCCACCAACCAATTTAAGATTCCCCTTGCTGAAGATCAATGGTACATCCCACTTTTTCTAAATTTCATAGTCCCGATCTACTAGGTTAGTGGATTAAATTTGGTGAGATTAACCAGGCTCCCACCTGATCACCAGAGTAGCCTCACGTGCGCCACGCGTGGCCGAATTATGTTCATCTTTATTTTTATGCACCTAACCTCCGGTCGGTGATCCGAGACCACTCATCGACTTGTTTTGATCCTTTGAGCGAAAATTGCCCTAGGTAGTTCAAGCTATTAAGAAATTATAGTTCATATGCGTTTTATCTTGAGAGGGATTCTTGAGGAGTCTAAGTCCAATTGAGTTGTAAGTTTGAGTTCTTAGTGGATTGATCATCATCTGAGTGTGGTCTCGCGAAGTAGGTGGTTACCGAACCGCGATACTAATTTTCTTGTACCCCTTTTACTATTTCACGTGTTTCTTATATTTGTTACAACAAATTTAACAACAAACTTGGTAAAGAGACTAAACCGGTACAAACAAGCTTTATGGGATCTTGTAGTGGTGGCACGTCGAAGTCTGTTTTATTTATTTAGTCCCAGTCTGTTTCACTGGTTTAATTCTGTTCAACTCAGTTTGAATAGTGAGCACAGTTTGAATTCGTGTTTGGTAAGCACTCAGTCCGAATTATATTCTCCGTTTGAACTGAATTAAATTATCCAACTTAGAGTTTAAATTTCCCCTAAAGTTCAACCGTTTAAACCATTTTTGAATAGTAAATAGGTGCTAACTTTTTCTGCTTTTCACACCTACTAAACACAAATTTGAATTTTATTCCTTGTTCAGATTAAAATTGTAACTGCACATCCAAACGCCAATTCAAACTATAATTTAAACCATATAGTTTGAATTTTTCTGTTCAAATAAAAAGTTCAAATCAACACAATTCAAATCAGTGGACCAAACAGGGGCTTAATATTGGCTCTTCATTTATGTGTAAGCATATGAATTCGTATAAGTGAGTAATTTTAACTATCATTGTGGCCGGGACTATTCCGCTAATGATGTTTTATTTATTCATTTTTGTTTGTGCTACACTTATTATGTGGATTGGATTTAAGGTTTTATTTTGGACGTTATTACTATTTTAAGTCCCATGGAGAAATGTTTTAACTGTTGAATTTTGCTTTGTTTTGCTACCTATACTTAACCCCACTTTGGGGCGGTAATGTAGATAGGAATAGTGATCAAGCCCTCCACTTAAATAGACATTTACACATGTATAATGTTATCTAGCTAGCTAAAAGGAAGATTACAACATGGTGGTTAGCGATAATTCGATGTTCATTTTTAATATTGAGGTCTAGATCAAATTCAAATTCCCACAAAAATAAACTGAGTGTTAATTAATTTAAAAAAAAAAAATATATATATATATATATGATTAAGTTTTTCAGTATTATTTGATTTTCTTGCGCACAAAGTTTTTGTTCTGCATTATGTTGAGACTCCATCAAAGAAGAGAATCGTCATATTAAAAGAAATATTGAGAATTAGTAGGATCATCATGAAGATTAGAGAGAGATCAGAAGGAATGGTCTTGCCTGTTGAATCTAATATATAATTGTACGTAGTACTTGATCAAAAGTCTACTTATTACATAAAATATTGTTTCAAAAACCCATGTCGTCTTAAAAAGAAAATGTATAACTTGTATTATTAGACAATTTTTTGTATCAGCATTACCACGGATTTATGTATATTAACTGAAAATTTTGCAAGAATCTACTAATATCGTTTGAGAAGCTAGATGCTATAAGCTTACAGCAAATATATGGCACTATATAATAGAAACCACTAATTATAAGCTTTGCAGTGCACCACTATATATATATATATATATATATCATATATGTATAACTTACATCTATAGATATATATTTCTTCAAATGATATATTTTCCATCGTATACAGGAGAACTGAAACAACAAATTAATCCGCTTCGCATGCTCGATCATGGCCGGTTGAGATATTGATCGCGTAAAATTATAGCCACATCCATCAAAGTTTTCTTCAAAGTTGAAAGTATTACCAGACATTTTTAGGGTTGCAATATTGGAGAGAAAATCAAGAAGACACCCATAACATTATCTCCCCAACAGCTTGCTTGAAAACTTCTTCTACAGGATTAAACGCCTCTAGGAACTGATCTGAAGCTCCGTTACTTGCCTGCTATAATGACATAAACCCGTTAATAAAATTATCTTTCTTCGTAAATGATGAGAGAGAATAACCGGCAAAACTATCTATATATGATTAATGACGTCACATAAAAATTCATCTAAATTTGTTTTGGTTTTAATTTGGCCATGTTTGTGAGTGTTGGATGAATTTATACGATGAAATCCTAAAGAAACTAGTTTTGTTTTTGTTTGTCTAAAAGTAAATTGATTTCTATTATAGGTTTTATTGATCATGACGCTAATGAAAATCTATTGACTGTTCCTCCTCGTAATTTCTTCTATTGTGCTTATATATAGGAACAGAAAATTAAAAACTTACATGATGTGCATGGATCATGTACATGTTCCGATCACCATCGGACGAGATCTGAGCCGAAACGAGCGTTATCTTATGCTTCTCCAAGGCATAGCAAATGGAGGTGAGGAGGCCAGGTTTTCTGGGCGAGCAAATGCTGATATGTGCTTGGTCACCGCAGATGTTCAAGACCACATTGGAGGAAGTCCATGTTTGGAACATTACAGGAGAGAACTGTGAAACTACCGAGAGTGAATTTGAAGAAGGGTTATTTATGTTGTTTCCCATAGTGACAAGTTCATTGCAAGATCCTTGGTCAGCTAAGAATGCCTCCCTGGTATCCTTATAGGCTACCTTTTGTTGGGAAATTAGGGAAGGCTCACAGTTGAAAGAAGAAATTGTGGTACTACTAGTAGTAGCTCCTTGAAGCTTTTCCAGTTTTTGTTTTTGTAACTTTTGGAGAGTCTGCTGTAGGGTTCGGATGTAGTTCACTGCTTCATCAACAATTGTGGATTTGTCGGCCTGCATTTATAATATCATATTTCATTTTTAATGTAACGACCAACATAAAATTAATTATGTGAAACTAGATGTTTTCTCAAAAGGAAACTAAGAAGGTTCATGAAATATTAATTAATACAACTTTCTCCCTAAATATTAGATTGTTATTTTTTATTGCGTTTAATTTCAAACATTTACTAGCTAGGATGTCTAATTAAACTCTTGTACTCACACACACATACATACAATCATAAAATGTAATCATTTGTGTCTAATAGCTATAGGTTATATTCAGCAGCTATTTCTAAGGTGAAAAGCAAAATACACCGATTATAGACTCCATCAAATGGCAAGATCTAGGTGGGATCTTCATGAGAAATCACTACTTGCATTATAGCCACAAAGCTTTTCCCCGAGAAATGGATTGTTATATAAATGTTAAGTACAAACATCATAACATCCCAATAATTTTATCTATATAGATATATATATATATATATATATATGTCGAAGGAAGTAAGAATACTAATATAATTTGCCTTTAATTGTTTAAAAAAAGCCTAAATATATAGGTGATGGGTTTCTCTTCACAAATTACAGTGAACTTAAAAGGGCTGCAAAAGGAAAAAGCCCCATTTCCTGTTAACCGCCCACGACGACAAGTAAAATCTTAAAAGCCACAAAACCTGAACGCAAACTAGCGACTAGTACCTCTTTTTGTAAAGATTTAAAAAGACTACTTTGCTTGCTTACCCATCTGAAAGAGAGATCACAAAGCGAAAAAACATGCAAAAGACAAACTTATATTCTTAACCAAAAGTTTTTTTTTTCTAAGGGTATTTAACCAAAAGATTTAACATGATATATTTGTGTAACACAATATAAATTAACTTTATAAATACAAACAAATATTATCTTAATAATTATTAAGATTACCTTAGGAGGGAGTTGGGGAAGCAAAGCATGAAGATTAGCAAACATGTTCCTCATCTTCTTCCTCCTCTCTCTCTCCGTCCATATATGTATTTCATGATCCGATTCCCCACCACCAACTTTTTTTCCTTCTTTCGTGATCTGATCATGATGATCATGATCATCAAGATCGCCGGTACTGGTGGTGGTAGTAGTAATAGTACTGGACTTTCCATTATTGTTTTTGCAAACACCCCCTCGGCTCCGCTTCTTCTTATTATTTCCCTGCGGTGCCCCTTCTTTCCCTTTATTCGCTTTTGGCCCCCCGCCGCCGTTCGAGCTCTTCATCTTTTTGCCCTCGGACTTTTCTTCTTCTTCTTCGTCAGCAGTTCCAGTATAACCTGCACCGCCTGTTGGTGATGAGTTGTTGGACAAATTATTTGCCCAATTACACTCGTTTTCTTCCCATAGAAAACCCATCTCGTTCCCAACTATGGCGAATCCTTCTTCAGACATGGCCAACCTATATCTGTATATCTTTGAGAGAATTATATATATGTGTGTGTGTGTGTTTGTATATATATATATATATATATAGAGTGAATATAATGATTGAGTTAGAGAGGCGTTTAAAAAAGGTGGCGAAGTTTGGGGTTTGTTTTGGGAGAGAATTAGAGATATGTTTTTTTTATTTTTATTTTATAATATTATATATAGTATAATATTACATAATTCTCAGCTGTTGCAAAACTGAAGAAGCCGCCAAAATACAATCATAAGGTGATGCCGTTACTTGGGCTTCGAAACAAAAAACGGATGGCCTCGGTATTCCGGTAGGACCCACACCAAGGAGATGCTGACCCCACCTGTCTTACTGAGAAACTTGAAATTACTTTTCTACCATTGCCTCCGTTTGGAAGGTAATCCCCTGTATTGCTTGGCAAGTGGCATCAATTCGTGTTGCCATTTTGGTTACCAAACTTGGCCTTTTTTTTACGTGTTTAATGTAATTATTTGTATAAAAAGAATTGTTAATTTCATCCGTTAGTCAAAATTTATTAAAAATTAAAAATCTATATAAATCTACGGTTTAAAATAAGATTCTATTAGTAGGACCTTTTTTCATACCGTGTTGTAGAATTTTCATTGTATATAGGTTTTTTCTGTGGACCAACAACATCTTGTGAGGGAGAATTCTCTCATCGTAACCGGTTGAAAAATTTACTTAATTATCTTATATTGAATCATAACAGTTGATATTTTTGGAACCAGAAGTCGTTTTTAAGCATGTGGTAATAAACGATTGATATGCACTGATCCAAATAAATGTTTATGTATAATTGGATGTGCTTATTAAAAATACATGACAGATATAATATTGCATTACAATATTGTTAATGTTTAAAAATGGCGGTCGGTTATGATGAAACAACTGATATTAACAATAAAAATGACAGATATGCATATTATCATTCATATTAAAAATAACATAAGTTTATTGATGTGCTTTTCAATATAATTATTTATGACAGATGTACATGACAATCATTTATTTTTATTTGCTTAAAAATAATTTCTTATTCCTAAAATAATAACTGTTACGACTCAATACAAAAAAATTACATTAATTCTTCAACCAGTTATGATGACACGTGAGTGACAGATTCATCATTTACAAAGTGGGAGACTACAATCAGGTTTAACCTATTATGTGTATAATGGTCAATTAAAGAAGAAAGAATCCACGTATAAAGGATTTTTGTTATTTGCAATGTAAATAACAATGTTTTGTACATGTAATTTTACATGGTTATAATTTGTGGAACCAAGAAATCAATCACACTAATGGTGAATATATATATATATATATATGTATATATATTAATCATTTATTATTATATCAATCTGTGCTATTTGGTAATTATTAATTATTATCTTAAACTAGCTTGTTATTGAAGCTTATTAACTGATTATCGTGAAACAAAACAAGAGGATAAAACTTTCAATAAGCAACTAAAATACCCACGATATACATGGCGTATCCAAAGCTTTTGTTTTCTTCTTGTCAGAAAGAAACGCGTGCTTCAACATTATCGGGTCGTTAATTTCAGAGTAATAAAGTTTTAACAAATTAATTATTGTGTTCTCTTGTCTTTTTAAGAATGGAGTATCTGTATAGAAGCGTTACATTAAAATGTAATGATTAAAACGTCAGAGAATATTTTCCTTTTTGTTGAAGTAAATCAAATTCGTTCAGAACTATCGTAATGCTTACTGTACTAAATGAAAGCTGTAATAAAGAGTTTAATCAAACAATTTCTTCTAGATGTAATTAATAATTCCAATTTCTAGTAATCTATAATTTAAAGGGATGAGTTATATCTTAGGTAAGCATTTCAATATTCCAGTCAAACAATTTCTAAAGACTGTAAGTTAAGAAAGTTCCAAACCTGTACATAACGTTTTTATTTAGAATGAAACAACCATTCAAAGAAGCTAAGATCATAGAATGAAAAGGTACAAAAGATAGAAGCAATCACGGGCTAGCCAAAATAAATGAAATCCATAATATTAAAAAGAAAAACCTACAGTTTTATATAGTTGCAGCATGTACAATTGAATAAGAGAATATGGAAAACCACCATTTTCACTCTTATAGACTTGACCTGAATTTGCATGTTTCAAAGTTGTAACGTATGTTTCTTGGTAGGAATGAAAGTTTTATAATAAGGTATGAAAAAAATTTTGGTTTGAACGGTCTAATGTGTACCAAATTTTGTTAGTTTTCTTTTTAATTTATTTTAATATGATTATTTAATGTTTCTAAACCTACATTACTGTTAGAGACGAGAGATTATACAATAGAAAGCTTCTCTTACAGGTAATAATACTTAGAGTTTGTGTTAAGTCTCTTTCCTTTAGTTTTTCCTTATAGTTATTCTGAAATCTTTTTTTTTTTTTTTTTTTTTTAGCTTTCTACCCTAAAGGTCTTAGTATTACATCAAAATAAAAAAAAAAACAAAAACAAAACAAAAAAAAAAAAAACAAATGACAGATATGATACCTATGTGAGGTTCGAAAGAGAGCCATATATTAGTATGGTCTTTTTTCATGTCTTACAGTAAAATTATTCTTAATTAAAATCCTGCAAGAACGCAAAAGAGAATTATACTACTAATCCTCATCAATCATGAGCACTAATTAGGATAAAAAGGTTATGTAATTATCAAACGCGTTTTCGTCACTCCTATTTGAACAGAATAATGTTATTAAACTTTGCATGCACAAACAACTGTATTTCTTGTTCGTATTGTCTTTTAGCCGGTTTCTTTTATTATTGAAGCTTAACAAAGACGTTAGTGTGAGGCTTAAAATATTGAAACTGATTACATGATTGAAAATCTGAAGCTACTCGAAGAACAAATTTAAAGATGATCATCACTTGCAAATGAAAGCCTGCTCAATGAAATTGTTTTTAAACAAAGTCTACTTTTATTCAATTTTTTGAAGGAAAATATGGAATTAAATCTACATCTCCAATGCAATGCTAAATTTATGTGTTAATGTTAGATTTTAACATTTAAGTAGAAAAATCATTCTTTAAAGCAATGATATTTTTTATGATAAATTTACTATTGGCTAAACGGTCATAAATTTACTATCAAGTATGACATATTGTAAATTCGACATTTGATTGCTATTAGTTGGTATGTTTACGTTTTCCTTTAATCATTATAACTTTACATTTTCAAATTATTTTAAAATTAAAAGTTTAATTCTACTACTTCTACAGCTTAATGATTATGACAAAAAATATATTTAATATTTCAAATAACATTAAAACATAAATGAAAATAACTTATCAAATATACTATTTTTCATAGTTTTTTTGTGCCAAATAGGCCATTAATAACATTAGCATTTGCATTAATGAATACTGATCTTATACTCGAAACAAATATTAATGCTTGCAAAGAAGGTACATCAACCTTTAAAAGAAAGGAAAAAAGGACCCAAAAAAAAAACAAAAGAAAAGAAAAACGCACAAAGATTAGAATAATACCCGTTATGTGTTTCAAATCCAGCCAAAAAGTAACCCAAATGTACTAGAATAAACTTGATGTTAAAACGATAATAACATGACATAAAATTAAGCTTAATAGTGAGTTGAAACCTTCAAATTTACATGCCAATCTTGAGGTTATCAAAACCATAAAGGCATGCACCGTCAGGAACATCACTCACTAGTAGTGGGTATAGTATTTAGTATCTCTGTCAAGATCTAAAAAATACAACACTTTTGGTGCTCCAAAGCCAAGACGGTGAGGAACATGTATTAATACGTACGCAACACAAAGTCGGATCACTAGTATAAAAAGTGGAATATGACGAGAAAGTACATGAAAAGCACTTTAAATGACGGTTTTTGATAAAACTGTCGTTAAATATGTCATTTTTAACGACGATTTTTATAAAAAATCATCGTTAAAAGTGGTACATTTAACGATAGTTTTTATAAAAACCATCGTTAATGATATTAAGAAAGAGAGACAAATTTGGGAGGGGAAGGAATTAGAGAGAGAATGATAAAGAGAGAGAAAAAGAAAGGGGAAATGGGAAAGAGAGAGGGATTGAGAGAAATGTTTAGAGTTTGGAGATAAGAGTGGGAGAAAAATGGAAGAGAGTGTTCGGAATTATAGAAGAGAAAGAGAAATGTTCAAAATTTAAGTGAAATAGATGAGCCAGAAAAAGTCAATTTTTTTTTAAAAAAAATTTACATTTAACAACGGTTTTCTAAAAACCGTCGTTAAATGTTGACATTAGACGATTGTTTTTAAAAAAATTGTCGTTTAATGTGCTTGCATTTATTTTTTTTTTCTTTTTTTTTTCTTGTATATATTAGACAATAATTTTTAAAAATCGTCGTTTAATGTCTAGATGGTTTTTTAAAAAACAATTGTCTAATGTACTGTATGAATTTTTGAAATACAGAAATCTTGATTCCGTGTTTTTTTCACCACATTAGACAGCTGGTTTTTTTTTTTTTTTTTTTTTCTTTTTAAAGGTTGTTAAATAAGCAGCGTTTTTGTATTAGTGGATGTTAGGATCAGCTGTATATATCGTTGCTATAGCTAGGTAGCTTCTTTCTTGATGATATATTGATGATGAAAAAAGTATGCCAAAAAGTAGACGCCTAATCATTTTATGCATAATGACGCTACATGCCATGAGTTGGCCGTTATCCATCTCTCTTCTATACCCTTCTGTTTTGAGAAAGAGAATTGTGCCTTGTTTGTGTGAACCTATTTCCCTAATTAATTTTTCTTCTTATAACATTATATATGCATGAAATATATTTCGAAAAGCCCTAATTTTGAGTTTTTATGTAATTTTCATGTTAATAATCACCACAAATAATTTTATTATTATAACTATTATGAGTAAATATAAAATGCACTATTACATGTACTACTGGTAACTGCTATAATTATTACAAGAATCTAATGTGGCAATGCTCTAAAAGAAAATTAGAGTGAGAAACTTAGTGCGGGATAAGGAAGGAGTTGAGTGCTCACCAAATTAGGATGCTTTTCCTCTGTCTCTTTCAAATTTCACAGTAAAACATTCAGATATGAGATAATATTTAACATGAAAAAAATATTAAAAAACATTTCACTTTTATAATACTAATTTAACAAGCTTTCATATTCATTTCTTTCAATAGATTACTTCACAATTAATCCATATATTATGGGGCAAAGTGAGACATTTAGTATATTCTTCGTGAGCTAAACTTAAACTTGATCAGGGTTTACTAAATTACCTTCATTAAAAGTGTCATGTGTACTTGCCACCTCACATGTAAATTCCATCCATTTTTAAACGGATATGTGACGGAAAAATTAAAAATGAAACGTTTCTAAAACTCAAGGATCATTAATGTCACACTAAAAAATTTAAAGACAAAGTAAAACAATAAATATTCCTCAGCGCTAAAATTTTAATTAACCCTTACAAATTTGCATAACAACTATATATGGAGGTCATAAAACCTGGACCAACGTCATATATACGATAAATTATATTTTAAAATAAAGTGTCGCCCGTACAGTAGATACGACAATCTTCATAATAATATCAAGTCTCGACACATCATAACAAAAAAAGAGGGGGTTTGCCCATAAGATCAATAGTGTCCATAACGAGATGGAAAAGTCCACTCAACTAGCAAGGGCTTTTTTTTTTTTTTTTTTTTTTGTGCTCTACGTATATAGAGATGTCAAAAGGGCCGTGCCGGGCCGGCACGGCCCTTCTAACCCCAAGCCCATGGCGCGGGCCTGGGCCGTGCCAGGGCCGGGCCTGAGGGTTCCCAGCACTGGCCCTTGGCCCTAGTCCATAAGGGCCAGGGCCGGGCCTGGGCCCAAGCCCTTCACGGGCCGGCCCTAGCCCTTTTAATTTTTTTTTAATATTTAATTAAAAAAAGAAAATATATCATATGTCCCTAAAAGATGTGATTTTATTAAATTGAGATAATACAAATAAGTACACATAAATGATCAACTCGTTAAAAACCTTGTCAAGTAAATCTCGTGGGGAGATCGGGACAAAACCTTAGCGAAGGAAAAAAGAGTGCAGTATTTTAGGATAAGTAAATTACAAAACCTAAGTGCTTCTAGAAGATTCTGTTATGTCTAAACTCAATCTTAACCTAATTTTTTTAATGCACTTGAGTTTCACTTATGATTAGCAATATTTTTAGGATTTTTTTTAATTTCAAATTTGAGGACAAAAAAAAGTAATATATCATATGCCCCAAAAATATGTGATTTTAATGAATTAATATGAATAATTATAAGAAAATGACTAGTTGACCAGACGGCATAGGTCGGCCAATTGGCCCTAAAATGCCTCAAACCTCATTAAAATTTCATGTCGCGGGCCTGGCCCTTCGCGTGCCTGGGCCGTGCCTAGCCCTTTGCGTGCCTGGGCCTTGGTGTGCCTGGGCCGTGCCTGGGCCTTGGCGAGCCTGGGCCGTGCCTGGCCCTTGGGCGGGCCTGGGCCGTGCCTGGGCTGCGGGCCTCAAACATGAGGCTCAGCCCAGGCCCTTCTAGCGTGCCGTGCCGGCCCGGCCCATAACAGTGCAGGGCCGGGCCGTGCCAAATTTGCTACTGTAGCGGGCTGGGCCGGGCCGTCCATGGACGGCCCGGCCCAATTGACACCTCTATACGTATATACATGATTATTACTGACTGCATAGTTGTGTATAAGTGTGAGAACGTAATTCACAGGAAATAATGGTTTAGACTAGAGGACAAAGTAATGATGAGGTAAACCAAGATGATTTAAGGTTGCATTTGGTACGATAGTTCAAATCATGGTGATTTTAATTTTATAACCATAACTATGATTCATAATTTGAACATGTGGTCCAAACCATGGTTCTATAATCGGAATCAGAACTAGGAGTTTGAAACATCCAAAATCAAAAGGGGATGGTTTTATTTTTTGAGGTGATTTTGGTTTAAAACATCACATCATGGTCCAAACTTTGAACCAAAACTATTCAAACCAAACATTGGCTTTTAAGAACCATTTTTTACTTTTTGCAAACAAATAAAGGTTGGAACCAGAATCATAGACTCGTTCTAGAACCCTCATACCAAACGCAACCTTCCAATATTAACCATATTGTTGAAAGATTTTCAAAATGGAACATAAGGCGGGAGAATGGAGAACCCAAAGATGTTGATAATTGGATGAGGACTATAGAGCGTAATTTACCTATGGGAAGGTCCCTAATCTCAACTAAGTTTATTGTGCTTCGTAGTGTCATAAGTTATTAAAAGGATACAATGGCCAGTTCGCATTATGTGACACCGTGACTTGGAAAAGAGTCAGAGATCTTTGAGTACCTTTTACAATAATGGCTCAAAAAGACGAGAAAATTTATGACTATAAGACAAAGCAATATCTTATTATTTTTTTTAATGAGTATATTAGAAAATTTGAAGAGCTATCTTGTTATAGATCATGATTAGTGGTGTTATGATGGTGTTAAGGTAGAACAGATATATACGGAGATCTAACAGTTGCCGGAGTGAATGGTTTAACTTACTCCAAAATAGCTTACTGTCACTGACCTTTTCTTCTCGCAATGCAACCATGCGGCGTTAGCACTCCCGGAAAATCAGGGGCGACATCAGAGAGCCTTAGATGTGAGAAATACATAAAAGAAAAGAGATTAAGACGTGAAGGAGATGAAAACGGATGAGTACGATGTCTAGGAAATGGGAAAAAAAGAAGACATTTGAACCACATTTTCATTATCCCAAGGAAATGACACAACAATGGGACAAGGAAAATGAGAAACAAAATCAATGGATAAACGATCAAGGTCAAAAAGAGGATCAAGATGAGTGCTTCAGAAAACTCGCAGAAACGTGTCCAAAACAGAAACAACAAGCAACACAAATAGAAGGATTGGATCACGCATCAGAGTCAGAAAATATGATGCATTAAGATAGGACTTGAGTAAAATGCATGGAAACTTGAAAGGGAAATTGTTAGTCCTATGAAATCTTGATTACTAGATTAACAAAGAAAGAAGTAATAATTAGCAGAAATGAAAAGAATTTGTGCCAAACTCTGGTGGAGCAAAATGGATTGAACTTTCAGTAGAGAAACTCATCATGATCTTGGTTTTAACTAAAATACACAATACAATAAGAAATACAACCAAACAATATCATTCCATCAGTCACAATGAAGCTCAAGAAACTATAAATTTTTATCCAATGTATTACTGTTGTTGTGATGATTTAAAATTATCCATTGCTAACATATAAACAAATCCTTCTATGATCCATGAAGCAAATATGTTCTTCCGTTTCGCTCCCTCTCTCTCCCCCCATCTTTTTCATAAAACCATGCATTTTTTTGTGTGCCGACAACAAGGTTCAAGTGATTTAAGTTGCATAATTTTTTTTTTTTTTTTTGGGGGACCAATGGGTGGTTCTAGTGATACAACAGCACAAATACTATAATTTAAAGGGCTTGGACAAGGAAGGCGTTCTCTTTCATGTCAGCAAGCCTGTGGTTTTACAGATAGGGCATAGGTTCTTCTGCATTAGCCATTGTTTGACGCAGTCGGTATGGAAGTCATGTCCGCAGTCTAGTGCTCCGACATCATCCCCATCAGCAAATTCTTCCTGCCATAGAATAAAATTTAGCTTAATTAGGCAGATCTATCTAATACCTATTTTCCCCCCTTCATGCCACGAGAATCTACCGGTCTTTCATTTTCGTAGAAACATGTATAATGGAGAAAATACAAATTGCTCGTACCTGGCATATGCAACACGGTTCTGTATCTGGTGGGGATTCTACTGCTATAGATTCATATTTTTGCTGTTTCATTAGTTTCAATATTGTCGCCTCGCTCAGTCCCGTGCTAACATCTCCTATGCGTTCCTCCAGAGCCAAAAGTTCCTGTTATCGAAATATTATATTATGGAAACAACATATGTGAAAGATTCTACAAACAGAATAAGAGCAGAAAGATCCTCTGAAAAAAAATTTGATTTCTTGTACCTCATAAGACATGTTATCAACATCCAGGCGCATATCTCTGTGCCTGTCGTGCATTTCTGCCATACCATGGTACATGAATGGGTCAAAGAGCATGTAATCCTGTATTATACCAAAGGTTAAAGAAAATTCAATTATTTGTTTAAAAAACGAGAAGCTAAGTACTTTTTGCTCCCTACAGCAATTCAAGGAGTGAGACCAAAAATCCATAAACATTCACAAATTTTTATATACAAGTATCACTTGCAGGTTAATAATCATAATCCAAGAATTAGAAAATGTTGGCAAGATATAGAAGCAGGAAGGTCCTTTACATTTCACATTCCACTTTATAGGGGACATAAGGTGTGGTCAATTCCTCTATGATTTCCAAGCCTTATAGCATCAGTTAACGTCTTAATATATTGCTATCCTCTACATTATAGTTCATATTGTATATAAATATAAAAAATGTCAAAAAGCACGACAAATTTGGGAGCTCAACGTCAGTGACCTAATGTTAAACATTCAACCAAGCTAGCCTGTCGACAGAAGAATAAATCAACAAAACCAGCTACACCGAAAGGGTATCTGATATTTTGTACTTTTTTTATTATTATTTCACAAGCAATCATTTCTCAGCTATTAAAAGAGAATAAAGCATAAAAGTGGTGTCTCGATTCATTTCTCTACTAATTTTCAAGGCAGTTCCTATCACGTTACAAATTCATGTGGAAATTGTTTCCACAGCCACTATTACCATGGAAATAAAAGGAAGTTGCATTTCAGGTCTAACAGTATGGTGATAGTATTAAACATTGAGATAATTTGATTGAACTAAATTCTGTAGTAGATAACAAACAATGTCCAAGGCCTTATGTCAAATTCATGTACGAGAAAAGGAATCTGAATACAAAGAAACTTTACTTATGGGATAAAAACTTGCATGAGAACGATATAAATGGAAAGTGAAACTTGCAATGACCTGTGGCAGGTAGCAATGTTTTTATTTTCATCCAAAAGCAACAAGCAAAAGTACACCTTATTCTAAAGAATAATAATGAAAAGCCCAAGTAATGAGAACGTAAATAAACCGTAAATCGAAAGGAAATCTAACCTCGATTTGTAAGTTCTCACCCCTACGCATGGCATGCAAGACTTGACGAATCTGCTAAATGGAGAAGAATGTGTATTGTCAGTTTAAGCGTAAATAATTCATTACCAAAGGTAAAATGCCAACAATCAGTATTAAGACCAACCAAAAAAAAAAAAGAAGCAATACTATGCAGAAAACAGCAGCACACGAGTCACGTTCCAAAAAAGAGTTGCTTAGAATTTGGATTTGGCAAAAATACTTCTAAATGAAGTGCACAAGAGAATGAGGCTCTTTATCATGGCCCTCCCGTATTTGAAACTGATTATATTTACATGACTTGCAAATGATCACAGTTTTTTCGTGGATTCCCTATTGTGAAGGTGATCATCACACAAGATTCCATCTATGACTGCAAATGCAACATTTACCAAGCAAAGGAAAGTCTTGACTCTTGTCTAATTCCATGTCAAATGAACCTGAGGTGTCAAGTGCAGTGTATGTAACCATGATTAAATGCTTCTTAAGAAAACATAGTCAAGCAGTTTAAAATTTCCTGTAAATAAATACTTATCCCATCACGTCATTTAGACACAAATACGGGAAGATTAAGGTTATCGTATTACTCTATAATAAAACCAAAAGTTTATGTCACTTTCAGCTTTTCCTTTCGGGACCTAGTTCAAGATTTTCCTTCCAATTCTCACTCCCTCTTTTAAAGAGAGGTGACTCCTGTATATATCATTAGTTACAATTGACAAACTGGAAAAGAAGACAACACTAACAAGAAACGCAAACCTCAGATATTAATCGACGTCTTCCTTCAATGTCAGCAGATAAAACCCGCAATGAATTGGATATACTAAGAGCATCTTCACCTTGTCTATCTGTGAAGAATGATGACCTAAGATATGGTTGTTGACGGTTCTGGTTATTACGTCCAGATGACATTATGGTATCCCGTGTCGAAGAAGGTCCAGGCGGTAATGGGTCCGAATGACCACTGTGGCCAACAGGTTGAGAATCAATGGATGGAAACAAAGACCATGGTGCAAATTCCAGTGTTCTTTGACGGCTTTGTGATGGTGAATTGTGGTGAGGGATCCACGCAGGGGCGGGTAAAGGAGGATTACTGGACGTGGAGGCAATCCTTGTAGAGGCAGGAATACCTAGAGAAGTGCTCAAGTTTCCAGAGGCCAAACTCGAACTTGTTGGATCATGTGCCGTATTTCTCATCTCATTAGCAGGTACAAACATGGGATGGTCCACATTGGTTCTTGGTATGCTTCTTAAGCTTGCTTCTTCTCGTATGTCCGTAGCCCTTTCTCCGAATGAGAAAGAACTTGTCATGGTTCCCCCTCTTGAATTCGAAGCCCCATTCCAAGGAAAATTATGCAAGTTGCCTGAGAAACCGGGAACATGCAAATTATGAGACTGGCTTTGGGGAGCACCTGAATTGGCTCCCACTGCTGCTGTCGATCTCAAGCCTGAAGGATCACCAAATGGGGCAGGTCTCCGAGTACCTGCTGATGCTAGATTGAATGGTATAGACTCGTGGTGAGACCCAGAATTAGTCTCACTGCCAACTTGTCTTAGAGGACTTTCTCCACTCTCTGTAGCACTTGAAGAAGGAAAGGCATCGGTAGCTACTGTTCCAGCAGGGATACCAGTTCTTGGGATCTGTTGTTCTTGAGAACTACCACTCGGGGCCGATAAACGTAAACTGCTAGAAGGATTATAACGAGCAGGTCCATTATGCCACAAGCAATTTTCAGGTTGCAGATAAGAGCTAGAACTTCCACCGGAACAGGACTGACCAGAAGTACCTTCAAGAGCCTTTCTCTTGCAGGATAAACCCCAATTACCAAGTGAACCAGCGCTACCATCGGCTTCCCCCGCTATACAGCCTGAGCTTCCGGCTGAAGTCCCGATAATATCAGATGAAGTAGCGGTAGATGTTTCAGTTTCCAATCTGCTTGACAAGTAAAGATTTGGGCCTAAACTAGCTCCAATACCTTGTTCACCATTACTACTACTACCAACGTATCCTGCGTTCAAATTCACATGTTGACGCATATGATTCGAACTAGAACCTTGCGAAAAGGAAGGCCCGTTTACCTGATTGCCACCAAGACTAATTATAGCTCTCCCAGGAAAAAGCATTTCTTCTGTCACCGAACCAACTGCGTGATGAGAACCGTATGGAGACGGCCTCCCATGTTCTATTTTAGCCCCTTCATCATTGGCTTGGTTTCTAGGAGCTGATCCACTAGGTTCACTAGTACCAGCATTTACACATGTCTCGCCCGAAGATGCATAGCTCGACCACCGGCTTTCAACAGGAGGTATCATGCTATTAAAAGGACTCTGGTGATTCATGTCAGCACTACCTGAATCAGATCCCTGCCCGATATTGTCAATAGCTTCGCAAAACGAATCAATGCCGCTCTCTTGCCCTTGCATCAGAGTGAATATGGCCCACCTGAAGAATTACGTGCAAGAAACTGAACAATGTTACTAAAGTCTCCAAACACAAATGTTCTTTCGGGTTAAACAATATCTGGGCAAACCTAAAACAATGAAAAAACAGCACCAAACAAGATGATTATCGACTTATCACCAAGAAAACTTGTTCTTTCGGAGAAAGATTAAGCAGCCTTCGATAATACCAATGCAGGCAATAATAGACATCTACATTTGTGTAACGCACTATGAAAGGAAAAGAAAATCGAATGGCTTTGTAAAAATGGGGGTTCATTATTTGCCACCAAAAAAAAAAATCAACCCATTTCAGCCATGGACAATTAGATAGCAAAAATGACCGAAATGAATATTAAAGAAATAAAGAGAGAATTTCAGAAAACATAACGTTAACATCGAATTGACCAAATAAAAAAAAAAAGATTACTGGGAATGGGTCAAAATCGATCTTGAAAATCTCTCATATTCGCATGAAATGAAACGAAGAAACTCCAAGAAGAATCAAATTTCTCTGTGGTAGCTAAAGCTAAGAACATATAACATTAAAAATAATGGTCAAAACCCAAAAAAAAAAAAACAAAGCAAAATGATAGGGGGAGATTAACAGAAGAGAGAGAGAGAGAGAGAGAGGTACCTGAGAGAGCGAAACGAGTGAGATCAAAGGCGAAACCGCACGATGAAGCTGTGCCCAAAAACGGGAAAGAAACCCATTGCTTGTGAGCTTAGATTCAGTGGCGTTTTCAACATCTCTCTCTCTATCTCCGTGATTCTTCTTCTCCGACTCTCAGTTACTTCAATTTCTCTTTTCTTTCGGTGACCCAGAAAAGAAGAAAAGGCAATCGGATACCACAAAGCCAGAGAGACATGGAAAAGAGAGAGGAGAGAGAGAGAAGGAACAGTAATGAGTAATCTGGAATCTAATCTGTGGGATGCTTATGTTAAGTTATGGTTATGTTTGTGGGGGTTGGGTTGGGTTGGCATTGGGTCTGATTACTCGGAGCCATCTCATTGTACACGTAGCTTGCATGCATTCCATCTTGGGCCCCACACACCATTCTTTACTTCGAAAATAACAAAAACTTTCCCCATTTTAAAAAAATTTAAAAAATTTTAATAAATAAAATGAAACGCACGACAATTGACAACAACCAAAAAAAATAATAAAAAGGGAAATTGGGGATTATAATTAGGTGGAGAGTAAATTCTGAGAGTTAATAATATACCAACAATGTTTTTTTTTTTTTGTTACCTAATGGGAAAAAAAAAATGGAACAAGCAAAAGAGAAAAAAAAAACAATTCATATATTTCATTAATTTCCGAGCTTTTCTGAGTCTTGAATGAAAAAAAAAATCACTCTTTTTCATGATATTTGGCTTGGGTGTTTTGAAAAATTGCGTTTGAAATTTTATTTTATTACAAGTTGGTTACTCTTGTCTTTGACAAAATTTAATATTTTTTATTAGTATATGCTATTTTTTGGGTTGGGAATAAGGACATGTCCAATTACAGCTTCTCAATTTAAGTGCCCATTTGTCCAGTACACACTCTTAATCCTTTTATTTATTTATTGTATTTAGGAGTTGTTTGACATAAATGTTTAAACAACCCAGTGGAAAATGAACTTTAAGACCTTTAAGGAGAAAAATGGGATGTTGAAGCATGAGGGGAATATTAAAAAAAAAAAAATGTTGGAATAATTATTTATAGAACCCAATTATCCTCTTTTTAATTGGTGTTTCAATGTTGCAAAGTGCAAGCTTCCAACAGCTAGCTAAAAGTGAGTTTTGTGGGGAAGGACAAGGTGGATCTCATTACTTACAAATTAAAATTCAGCTTCACCAAAAATAAATAAATAAATAAAATTCAGCTATGGACTTTCTCAAAGGCCCATTTGTAGTTGGGTAAGATGGTATAGTTCGTACAATGGCCCTTTACTATTTTGTTTGCTTTGGGTATCAATTTTCTTGATAATAATACATCTCACGAATCTAGTTTTTTGTGATTCAAAATTTTTCAGAAACTTTTTCATCCTCGAAATCTTACCATTGCCTTTCTTTTTCTATAATATTCCATTTTATCATAAAATTTTTGTTTAATTTATCATAATGTCTCAAAAGAAATAATGAAAACAATTTGATTTATAGGTGGAGAAGCATGAAAACAAACTTATTTTTGACATTGCTAATTTCATTTTTGTAACTTGAACCGCAAAAATATCTAAAACAGCAAGTCATTGAAAGCAATACGAAGGCAATGATGTTAGTTAATGAAAAATGAATGATAAACAGTTGTAGTAAATAAAAAAGCTAATGTTTTAACTGAAAAGAGGCATACAAAAAATAAATTTAGAGAAAACTGAATTCAAGAGGCATGCAAAATGTTCAATGATACGCTTGAGAAGTATGATAACAAAATTTCTATGGTCCAATCTTTCAAAGCATGAGAATTATGTGATGAATACACACATGAGAACCCTATAACTTCAATTTTTTTCTAAATTTATCATTATGTTGTGAGTAACTATAAAGTTATTCTTTGAATTTTAAAAAATACGTTTCAATTGCATCTTTTATGCATTTTTTTTTTAAAAAAAAAAAAAGAAAGAGATGAAAAGACAAAAACTCTTTAAATGCTTTCTGAAAAATAGTTTAGGAATTTCCTTCAGAAACATTATGGGCCACGAATATATTTTTCTTTAAAAAATTATGTTTTGCTTTAGGATTTTTAAAATATATTTTAAACAAAATATTTTTCAGGAACTATTTGAGGGTAATTTAGTCTTTTATTTTGATTTTTCATCTGAACAATTCTTAACTATGAAAAATACCTATAGTTATGATTTTACTGAAACTCTTAAACTATACAATACAATTATGTAATTACAAATTAGATATATCAAGCAAAAGTCACAAAACAAAATTGTATAAAAATGACCGTTAAACCTATATCAAAATTAGAATAAAAAATATAACCATATATAATTATATTGAAATTCAAACGAAAAAAGTCTCAAATAAAGGAAAAGAAGAAAAAAAAGATAAGATCCTGCCCTTTACAAGTAACCTAGTTTACTATGTCACGTTTTTGTTTTTTTTTTTTTTTCTGGGCTGACTTCACTAATTTACGTTCTGCAAATGCAAATGAAAGCCTCTGGCTTCCAAGGCCACATGCGCAAAAATTTGCCAAATAAAGAAAGGACCTCCACGTGGCAAAAGACAAACTTCCGAAAAAGAAAATCCTAAAAAACAAAAACAAAATGAAAACCAAAAAAAGAAATTAGTACTCCTCCAACCGAACACAGAAACCCAAAAAAAAAAAAAAAAAAAAGCTCTCAAACTCCGAACGCTGAAGAGCCAGGTGTACTTATTAAAAACATAACAAAATTCACCTCGATTCCCGAGAAACAATAATAATATCAAATCAAATTCCTCCAATTCATTTCCCAAAATTATTACAAAAGAACAAAATTAAAAAACAAAAGAAATGGAATCCAGAAAGCTGTCAACTTTACTGTCTTCCTTAGTCTCCCAGCTCCTCCTCCTCCTCCTCATCTTGTTTAGTCCGAATCCCATTTCCATTCCCGATGACAATCCCGATTCCGATTCCGATTCCACTCTCCTCGGAAACGCTTTCCCCCTCGTAATCCACCATTTTCTCTCCTCCCAAGAAATCGCCGCCGCGATTTCCCTCATCTCCGTCTCCCGCAAGCGGAAGAAGAGGAAGCGTTTCTCCGACCAAGACGAGGACGATGAAGAACACTTCAATGGCGGTGGCAGAGGCGGAATTCTCTTTCGTCTCGGTCCGTACAGAAGCCCTGACTCGTTCAAAAACTGGTTCAAGATGACTTCAGCGACCTTCGAGTGGCTCGCCGGCTCGCTGGAGCCGCTGCTCGATTGCCGCGACCCGGTCGGCTCTCCGCTAAACCTCTCTGCCGACATCCGCCTCGCGATCGGCCTTTTCCGATTGGCCACCGGCTCCGATTACCCCCAAATTGCTGCGCACTTTGGGGTTTCCGAATCGGCCGCGAGGTTCTGCTCCAAGCAATTGTGTCGGGTCCTATGTACGGACTTCCGGTTCTGGGTCAACCTCCTGAACCCCGGCGAGCTCCATTCGGTGTCGGCGGGGTTCGAGGACCTGTTCGGGTTGCCGAATTGTTGCGGAGTTATTGGCTGCACGAGGTTCAGAATCGCTAGGGATTTCATCGTCGGAGGAGCAGAAAGAGAGGACGGCAGCGTCGCGGCGCAAATTCTGGTGGATTCTTCGTCGAGGATTCTGAGCATTGTGGCGGGTTTTCGGGGCGAAAAGAGCGATTCGAAGGTGCTAAAGCTATCGACTTTGTTCAAAGACATCGGAGATAAAAGGTTGTTGAATTCGCCTCCGGTTTTTGTCAATGGTGTTGCTGTAGAACAGTACTTAATTGGAAATGGGAGTTACCCCTTGCTTCCATGGCTAATGGTTCCTTTTGCAGACGCCTTGCCGGGCTCGAGCGAAGACTGCTTCAACAGAGCGGTCAATGGGATGCGAATTGCGGCCATTAAGACCGTTGTTAGCTTGAAGAATTGGGGTGTCTTGAGTAAACCGATTGAAGAGGAGGTTAAGACCGGAGTTGCATATATCGGTGCTTGTTCGATTCTTCACAATGCCTTGTTGATGAGGGAGGACTATTCGGCTTTGGCTGATGAGTTGGGAAGTTATTCTTCGTATGATCAAAGCTCTCAATTTGATAGGGACAGTAAATTGGTGGACGATTCCGTTGAGCGAAAAGCTTCGGTTATACGAAGCGCATTGGCTGCGAAGGCAAAAGAGTTTGATAATTCGAAATTTCAGTCTGATCCTAGTGGTTTGGTTAGATTGCAATCAACTTAGGACGTTGCTAAAGCTGCAAGGAGCTCCAAATCATTCCTTAGATGGGTAAATACAGATTTTGAATTTCTTGATTGTTGTTATCTGAGAAATTGTTGTGGCATTTTGCCTTATTGTTTGTCTCCTAACTCCTTGTTTTGAAAGGTTAGCAATTTGTTTTGTAGTTATTGATTCTTACACTGATTTTTTTTTCCCCCTCCTCAAGTTGTACAGAAATCAGCTGCTTTTGCAATAATCAGAGTTTAACTTATGAGGTTTTCAATGTAAACACTTTTTTATTGAGATTTTTAGTCCATTTCTTGTTCAATATAAGCTTGTTTTTGTGTCTAATTAGCTGTAGAGTTCTAATTTGCTATAGTCCAGTGTAAATATGGCTCTGGTAATTCACCATATTGGTTGATTTTCTTATCTGAAATTTCTGTTGATAAGCCCTCAATTGATACTGACTGTTGTCTTCTTGTAGATATGCCCTGTTTCAGATTGTGTTCATTCTTTTTTTTTTCTTTTCTTTTCAAAAGAATCAAATATTATATTATTCTTAGTGGTTACCTAATCTGAAGCAATGAGGCAAAGAAAGCCTGATTGATGAGAGTGCTTCTGTATCCACACAAATATTCTTTACTGAGGGTAAAGCATAATAACATGGATAATGAAATTTTTAGTCAATCTTGTTCTTTGCATGCAATATAATAAAAAGATGTCGCTTTTAAATGTACCAGACAAGAACTATTTTATATTCATAACCAGTTGCATTTAGTTTTACTTGACTTGTTGTGACTTCAATTTTTTGTAAATTGATTCCCCTGGTCATTTTCCTTTTAGCTGTGCAGTTTCATAACCAGAATGGCAGGTTGTCTTCTCTGAACTGTATTTGTTCCTCACTAGCTACAGAAGATAATCGTGTTCAAAGACATGCAGTTTTCTCAACTTTCAATTAATTTTTTGTGTGTTTGTTTTCCCAAAGAAATTTCTATGAGAATATGAAAACCTGTTGTTTACGATGCACACAGGTGAAATAATGATCCATAATGCCGAATACAAAACGTTTTTTTTTTTTTTTTTGTATTTAAACCGATATTATAGAATTTTACTGCTATCCCGTGATTTATTTGTCGTTGGTCTTTCTTTGGATAGGTACCACTGATAGTCTATGTTTTTAAAAGTTAATTCGATCAAAATCACCTCAAATTAAAAAAGTATGCGAAATTAACAGAATTCGATACCATTTTAGCAAGTATTTTTTCATGCCCTACCATTATCTTCTCCTTTTCGTTTTTAGCTTTTTTTTGGTTAATGCTTCTTGTCCTGGTTATCATATGGAAATAGTGATAAGGAACTGCAGTGGACATGATTTATCATTAGTTATTATTAGCTGCATTACTTGACAGAACTACTGTGTGATTCATTATTTTGGGACGCATAATTGTGGCGCACATTCAACAACTGAAAGATAGTTAAATCGAGAACTGTCATAAGTTTTTATTCTCAAGTCTTACCATACAAAACTTAGCTGAACTTTTAACGGTCTGGATTCTTTTTTTTTTTTCTCGCTAAAAATGATCTGCATTGATTTAGTCATAACTCAACTTTTTTACTACAAGTGTTTTTTCTCTCACAAAAAATTATATTCAACTTTTTTATTACAATGTTTTTTTCTCACATACACAACTTAAGTTCTTTAACTTGTGAAAAATTTAAATTCAAAATAATGGGCTGTAACGTAGTTACTTCACTGTTCACCTAGCGGATACTGAAATTACATTCTTAAGTCACTGTTCTCACATGTATCACTAATGAAGTGGGATTTGTATCTCGGTGGTATAATGGATTAGTAATCAAGAAGATTGGTCAAAGAAAAACTTGTGTAGTCAAGATCTGAACGTGTCATTAAAGAAGATTTTAGGCGTATTAAGAACCTTTGACCCCCTCCGCAAAAAAAAAAAAAAAAAAAAAAAAAAAAAAAAAAAGGGAACCTTTGATTTGTATGGACCAGTTTAATGCTTAGTTCAGATGGCTGGAGATGTTCCATTCTTGAACCGTTTACTTCAGTCCTTACCTAGAGTCAGAGAAGATGAAATGGTCTACTGGCATTCATTAAATTAAAAGAAATTCATAGATGAATTGGGCATCAGGAGTGAAAATTTCATTAATCTTGACTAGTCAAAATATGTGGAGTAAATTACTTCAATGATAGTTACAAAACTGTATGCATCTCTCTTTTTCTTTTTTTCTTTTTTTTTTTGGGAAAAAAATCATAGTTTTGCTTTACAAAACTGTATTCAAATTTTTGTCTCTAGCATTTATTTAATATACATTGGAAACTAATGAATACTTGATAATTCTGGAGCAGCTGGGCTCAACAGCTACACTACTAAGTACCAAACCAAACAACATGCATCAGGTTGTGTTATAAAACTTGAGATAATCTACATATTCAGTAAATGGGAATAGGAAATTTGTTAAGGGAGAAAGAGAAAAATATATCAAGATTTAAGATGAATTAAAATTAATAGGTCAATAGTTTATATAAGTTAATAAATATGTCAAATTACTGTTTTTGTCCATAATTTGTCTGGTTATGAATTATAACTTGACAAGTTATTATCCATAATTCACGGTTTTTATCCATAACTTATCTAGTTATGAACCTTAACTTAACAAGTTTGTCCATAACTTATCTGATTATGAACCATAACTTGACAAATTATGACTTATTAATTTCTATAAATAAAAATTAACTTATATATTTTTTTAAACTTTTCATATTAACCTATTTTTTACTATTTCCGTTCATATAAGTATTATAGATTAGAGGGAGAAAAAATGATAAAACCTTTTATAAGAACGGCCAAAAAGCAACGTTCTTTCTGGCTCTTTCGGAGTCCAGACAACAAAAAGTCAGTTCACCAACCAAGACTAGTTAGTGGGGTTGGTGAATTTTGTTAAAATAAAGAAAAACTTCAACAATATAACGTCTTATTTAAGAAAATACAATCTGAATACTCACTTTTTAGGGCATCAAAATAAAATATAACTTTTATCCTTAACATAAACATTTAATCATTTTTGGGGACGTGAAAAACTTCTTTTCCTTTTCGGTATTTTATTTTCTAAAAAAATATGTTGTTTTCATTTTAATTTATCCTTAGACTAAAGAGACAAAATGCACTCTTTATGTTCCAGAGTGACATATTTCCTTCACATCTTCTTTTCACATTTTAAATTTTATGAAAAAGTAAACAATGTTTCAGTGACATCATGAGGAGACCTTATAAAAAATATTATAATACTATTCATTTTACCAATTTAAATTTAAAATTTAAATTTTATTACAGTAAAAAATTTTAAAAAATAATCATATTTAATTTATTTATTACAATAAAAAGTTCTCACATAAAATCACATTTTAATTCAAATTAAAAATTCAAATACTTGATATATATTAAAAGACTTCTTCGTTTGGTGACAAACTTTGCGAGCTTCTTGAAAAAAGAAAGAGAGAGAACCGATTGAAAAGAAGAATAAATAAATTTTGTTATTTTCTTATTGAGCACTCTTTATTTGGCAGGTATAAGACCCCAACTTCATGTGAGGGACAGGACTATAGTTCCAGTGGGGGGAAAAAAAAATCTTTCTTGTCTCTCTACTTCATTATCATCCGTTTATTCTAGTTTTCCTATTATTTTCTATTTTCCTCATGTTGTTAGAACAATTATCGTTTTATTTATATTAGATTTTGTTGCCTCAAGTGTTATAAAGTCTTTGATCGACTACACGGTTTAAAAAAAAACTTTTTATTAGTCGTAAAAAAAAATTTATGTGAATTTTTTTTTTCTGTCGTGAATTAAATAGTTTTAAAATATATTATTGACTTATTTAATTTCTATTATTTACTATATTCTTTTTTACATAATTTCACTTCTCTAACTTAATTTCTTAACTCAAACTCGTGAAAAAAATAGAGAACACTTAATTATGTAATTAACTGATCCAAAAAAGTCATCAAGTGCCGGGAATTGATAACAAATAAATACTCGGAAACTACAATGGAGCAAACTAAAGAAGTTTCAAACATAATAGCAGAGGAAAAATCTTGAATATTCCGATAGGCATATATATCCATTCCAGAGATACAACACCACATTAACCTATGCCAAGTGTAAGTTTTCCGAATCTTTCTCTTCACCAAATGATTGTGTATATATATATATATATATATATATATATATATATATATATATATAAGGAAGGAGTTACAACGACAAGTAAATGAATTATTAACGAGGGAGTTAATCTAAGAGAACATGATCCTTGAGTGCCCATTTGTTTTATTTCTCTTTTTGATCACTCAGAAGGATGGGAGTTGGCAAACGAATAAATAAGTATTTATTCACTTGATAAAACACAATAATCAAAGTTGTCCTTATAATTAGTCAACTCGATCTTTTTTTTTTTTTTTTTTTTTTTTTTAACCCTTTCTGAATGAGGGGAGGATAACTTTGAGATTTTCTTGTTGGGACCAAGACTAGTTGATTTCATTTCTATAAGGAAAAAAAAGAAAAAACAAAACAAAGGAAAAACAAAACGAAGACTAGATTTCAAAGAGCACCGGTAGAATTTTATTTTATTTTTTATTTTTTTAAAGCATAAGTTTACATGATGTCTAATGGTTAAATATATTCAATGCGGTTAGCAACACAATGGCCCGTTCACTTCGTTGATTCGAGTTTGTAATTCGAGTTGAGATGTAATTTTATGTGAGAGCTTTTTACTGTAGCAAAAAAGTTAGATGTGACTGTTTCTGAGAGCTTTTTACTATAGCAAAACTCGAATTCTAAACTCGAATCGGCGAAATGAACGAGGCCGTGTGTTTAACATTAAGTATTCTCATTATCCCCGTTTAGAATTCTCATTTAGAACTTGCGAAGAAAAAAAAAAAGCATTAAAATTACATTGTGTAGTACTTTTTATTTGGTGCATACAATATAACTTTTTCCCCTTGCTAATCTTATTAAGATAATATGACTTGACATGAGAACACTCATTATAGAATCAAACAGTAAGTAATCATTATCGCACGCTATTTGATTTCTTTTTATAACTTAGTTGTTATATATAGTACATTTTATTGTCCCAGTTAGCTAGTTTATCATTTATCTACACGCGTTTCCCACCTCAAGCACATACAACTTCTTGAGAAAGTTAAATATCAGCTGAAAATAACATGTTCTTTCTATGTAACATTGAAGTATTTCGTCAAAATTATAATTTTACATTTTCAGAAGAAGTTGCAAGATGGATGACCCATCGCCTAAAAGTTCAATTTGGAAATAACTCAAACGACAAGTTGTATGTATAAACACTCCTATAAAGTTCACGAGCTTAATTTAATTTTTTTTCCCTGATTGTATCCTGTAGTTATTTATTAGTAAATCAATTTGGGACTATTTTATTTGAGGATTTAACCATTTATATACTTGCGAAGTATCTATTTTACGATAAAATGCATGTTTAGCCGTCATTAGCAACTAAAGATGTCTTGATCATATTCTCGACCTTATTTGTATGTTCATGTTAGGATGTCTACCGTCCATGGTTCATATTATCTTACTCATGTTGACTAACCAAAAGTTACAAAACCATGAAAGATAACTATATACGTATACATATATATACATAGATATAGGGCCATATATATTAAAGAAAAGAAAATAACAGAAAAGAGAAAAGGTGACTATCAATCACCCACTACGCGTAGAAGGCCAAGTTCCATCACCAACTTCTCACCAAACTCAAAACTCTTACGTCTCCAATCCAACAACAAAGGGAATAATATTTTTAACAACATCTAACTTTTTTGTTACCGTCACATTTAATTTTTTTATTACAGTAAAAAACTCTCACACAACATCACATCTCAATTCAAATTCTAAACTCAAATCAGTGAAAAGAACGGAACCCTTAAACTTACTTTAAATATGAGTTTAAATTTTTAATTTTTATTTTTAATTAATAATCTATTAATTAATATAATTATTTGATTAAAAAAATTAATCAAGAATAATAGTAAAAATTCAACCCATATACTATAAAAAATATTTATCTTCTTTTCTCGTGTTAAGTGCCAATGTCGACCCACATTTTTCTTCCTACTCAAAATATATTGGATATCAATCCATCACTCCATCCACAGACCCACCCAATCCACCCTACTCAGTACCAATATATATTGATTACCAAAAAAATAGTGTTTTTCTTTTTTATTATTATATATTATTATCTATTATTTTGTTTTTTTATACCACAAAAAGTGAAAATTTTCATTTCTGAAAAAATAATACAACACCTTTTTTATTCCACAAAAATTGGCTCAAAATTCTAAATATATATATATATATATGACAGCATAAGTACTGAGAAATTACGTCATAAAATACTCCAAAATTAAAGTCAGAGAAGTCCACGACCCGTAATAGCCAACAACAGATTAGTGGGTCCCTTCCTCTGCAAGCGTTGGATCAAACTTCAAAGTATCTCTCATACAAATTAACGAGTTCACCAACCACAGACCGGTTTGGTGGGCGGTCCAACCACCGATACCGGTTCGAACCGGTCACAACACACCCGTATATAATCCCCCTAGTTTCTTGGTCTCCCCAATTCAGGGTCTAAAGTCTATCTCTGAATTAGATTACCAAAATCACTCCCAACAAATTCACTTCAAAACTCCCCCAAAAAAAAAAAAAAAAAACTGAGAGAAATGGCAACCAACGGTGAAGGAAAGCAACAGGAGGTCAGTAGGCACCAGGAGGTCGGCCACAAGAGCCTTCTCCAAAGCGATGCTCTTTACCAGGTAATATAGTTGTTTATATATATATATATATATATATATATATATATATGCACATATAAATATATGTATAGTTTAGATGTTTATATATGGTTCTTGAATGTTGTAGTATATTCTGGAGACTAGTGTGTACCCGAGAGAGCCAGAGCCAATGAAGGAGCTCAGGGAGATTACAGCAAAGCATCCATGGTAGGTCATGTGAATGTATATATTAATGATGTCCATATATATATATTATGTTTAATTTTTGTATCTCAAATCTTTTTCGGTTTTCTGACTTGGATATGTGGTGACAATTGAACAAAACAGGAACATCATGACCACATCGGCCGACGAAGGGCAATTCCTGAACATGCTTTTGAAGCTCATCAATGCCAAGAACACCATGGAGATTGGTGTCTACACCGGTTACTCCCTCCTCGCCACTGCCCTCGCACTTCCCGACGACGGAAAGGTGAATTTTCGGATTATAAATATTCTAACACGGTATTAGAGCCATTGTTCTTTGAGTTTCAATACAAAATTATTACTTTTTTTTTGTTCTCAATTAGTTTTCTGATCCGGGTTGTTGCAACAGATTTTGGCTATGGACATAAACAGGGAGAATTACGAGCTTGGTCTTCCGGTGATTGAGAAAGCCGGAGTTGCCCACAAGATTGATTTCAGAGAAGGCCCTGCTCTCCCTGTTCTTGATCACATGATTGAAGATGTAAGAACAAATTTACTAATATTTTTTCTTCAATTATTTAGGGTGAATTAGATATGGATTGATCAGATAGAAATACATTTTTGTTTTTTAATATGAACCGACCGCAACTAGTGGGACTTGTCGTATGCATCATGCTAAGCCAAGCTGGATCGTGACTCTTTTTAATTATTTTTTTAATAAGCCGGGTTATTACTTTTTACTTACAATTGCATCTTGGTGGATCTGATCAAATAATTGTGTGGGATGAACCCCAGGGGAAGTACCATGGAACGTTTGACTTCATCTTTGTGGATGCTGACAAGGACAACTACTTGAATTACCACAAGAGGTTGATCGAGTTGGTCAAGGTTGGAGGCGTGATCGGCTACGACAACACCCTCTGGAATGGCTCTGTGGTGGCGCCACCAGACGCACCCCTCCGCAAGTACGTCAGGTACTATAGGGACTTTGTGCTCGAGCTCAACAAAGCGCTCGCTGCCGACCCTAGGATTGAAATTTGCATGCTCCCCGTTGGTGATGGAATCACGCTTTGTCGTCGGGTCAACTAAAATATTAAATCCTGTCATTGATTGACCAGCAGTTTCACCTTCAGTTCACCTTCGGTTAATTGGTCGTTGCCCGCTATAAAATTAATGAAGCAAACCATAAATATATTTTTTTTCAAAAAAAAAAAATATTACTTTGCCTTCTTACCTTGGCTTTTATCTTTATTTTTTTAATTTTGTGTATTAATTTCAATTTGTATTCGGCATGAAGAAAGTGGACGTACAGTTAAAGTGTATGTCATGCTCAACTATATAATTAATGCGGATTTTGTTTATTTTAAGGTTCCTTTTGATAATAGTTTCGTGTCTATTAATCTTAAGCTACATTCCCTCTCTTTTGTCGTAACAAGGCCATCTCTTCTTGTTGAGGTAAAGTGTTGTCCGGTTTATCATCATTACTAAAATAATTGTAATTGTTACTTGCGATATCAACTTGGGAGGAGGAAACAAGTTTTCCGTATAGTAGCCCCCCAAAACAAAACTATGTATACATATGTATTGCTTTATCAAATAACAGTGTTGTATGTATGTATGTATGTATGTATGCGGTATTAGACGGCCAATTTATGTATTTATGTATGTATACGGTATTAGACGGCCAACTAGCTAGATCTATATGTATCCAAATGTACTTGTATAATGTAAGGATGACGAAATATTTATTTATAAGCACGTCAACTGACGTTATCATAGCGATGAGGACGACGACTTTTTCTGGGAAAATAATTAGTGATGAGTGGTTCATCACTTTTCTCAAAAATAAAAAAGTAAAAGAATAAAAATAAATAAAAAAAGATACATCATAATTGATAAAGTGAAATTAGAAATTGTCTGCTACTACCGATTAAAGCAGTATATGTATATTTTTTAAAAAAATATGTATATTTTTTAAAAAAATATGTATATTTTTTAAAAAATATATGTTTTTTTTTCAGTATATGTATATTTTATCATAATATGAGGAGATACTTATAATTTATTTAAACACTTATATAGATGTTTTTAGAGGAAATATACATTTATCGAAAATGAGATATACATATTTTTAAAAGAAATATGCATATGTCGTTTTAATCGGGTACCAGACAAGTCCTATCATCTGAGAATCTTGTACTTGAATATGAAAAATAAATAAATGAATAAATACTCTTTTGATAAGAAATGTCCAAATTTTTTGACGCTGTTTTTATTTTATTTTATTTTATTTTTCAAAGATGAAAAATAAAAAAAAATCATAAAAATAGAATATTCGTTAAAAAATAGCGCCGCTTGTTGCATTAATTCTTAAAAATTGAGTATTATTTTTAGAATGCAAAACATAAATACAAATGTAAATTTTTTACTCATCCCGGCCCCTGGGCGCCCCATTGCATTGGCCGGTGGCTTTTTGGCAGCATTTTCTGTTTTCATAATTTGAGGTTATTTTTTACAGACATGCTCAACAAAATGTAAGGATCATGTCGGTAAAATTTCAGAATTTTTTGACGCCGTTTTTATTTTATTTTATTTTTCAAAGATGAATGATAGAGAAAATCATAAAAAAATAGAATATTCATCAAAAAATAGTGCCGCTTGTTGCATTAATTCCTAAAAATTGTGTATTATTTTAAGAATGTAAAACATAAATAAACATGTAAATTTTTTACCAATCCCGGCCCCTGGGTGCCCCATTGCGCTAGCCGAGAGCTTTTTGGCAGTGTTTTCTTTTTTCAAAATTTGAAGCCATTTTTTGCAGACATGCTCAAAAAAATGTATGGATTGTGTTTGCACAATTTCATAACTTTTTAATGCCGTTTTTATTTTATTTTATTTTTCAAAGACAAAAAAATATAGAAAATCATAAAAAATAGAATATTCATAAAAAAATGGTGTCGGTTATTGCATTAATTCCTAAAAATCGTGTATTATTTTTACAATGCAAAACATAAATAAAAATAAAAGTTTAAACCCATTCCGGCCCCTGTGCGCCCCATGCTCAGAAAAATATAAGAATCGTGTCTGCAAAATTCTGAATTATTTGACACCGTTTTTATTTTATTTTATTTTGTAAAGATGAAAAATAGAGAAAAACATAAAAAATAGAATATTCGTTGAAAAAATGGTGTCACTTGTTGCATTAATTCCTAAAAATTGTGTATTAATTTTAGAATTCCAAACATAAATAAAAATGTAAATTTTTGACCCATCTCGGTCACTAGGCGACCCATTGCCATGGCCGGGGACTTTTTGGCAGCGTTTTCTGATTTCATAATTTTAGCCCTTTTTTGCAGACGTGCTCAGAAAAATGTAGGGATCGTGTCTGCAATGTTTCAAAATACTTTCACGTCGTTTTTATTTTATTTTATTTTTCAAAGAAGAAAAATAGAGAAAATCATAAAAAAATAGAATATTCATCAAAAACTGGTGTCACTTACTGCATTAATTCTTAAAAATTATGCATTAATTTTAAATGCAAAACATAAATAAAAATTTGAAATTTTGACCATCCCGGCCATAGGGTGCCCCATTGCGCTCGCCGGAGGCTTTTTGACAATGTTTTCTTTTTTCATAATTTGAATTCATTATTTGCAGACATGCTTAGACAAATGCAAAGATCGTGGCTGCAAAATTTCAAAATTTTTTGACGATATTTTTTATTTTATTTTATTTTTTTTCAAAGACGAAAATAGAGAAAATCATAAAAAATAGAATATTCATCAAAAAATGATGCCGCTTGTTGAATTTGTTCCAAAAATTCATGTATTCTTTTCATAATGTATATCATAAATAAAAATGTGAATTTTTGACACATCCGCACTGGGCGCCTAACTGCGCTAGCCGATGGCTTTTTTACAGTGTTTTCTTTTTTTATAATTTGAGGCCATTTTTTGCAGACATGCTCAGAAAAATGTAAAGATCGTGTCTGCAAAATTTGAAAATTTTTTGAAGTGGGTTTTGTTTTATTATATTTTTCAAAGATAAAAAATAAAGAGAAATCATAAAAAATAGAATATTCATAAAAAAATGGTGCCACTTACTGTGTTAATTCTTAAAAATTGTGCATTATTGTTGAACGCAAAACATAAATAAAAATTTAAATTTTTGACTATCCCGGCCACTGGGCGCCCCATTGCACTCACCGGAGGCTTTTTGACATCGTTTTCTTTTTTATAATTTGAATTCATTTTTTACAGACATGCTTAGAAAGATATAAGGATCGTGCCTGTAAAATTTTAAAATTTTTTGACGTCGGTTTTTATTTTATTTTGTTTTTCAATGACGAAAATAGAGAAAATCATAAAAAGTATAATCTCCATCAAAAAATGATGCCGCTGGTTGAATTTGTTCCTACAAATCGTGTATTCTTTTCAGAATGTATATCATAAATAAAAATATAAATTTTTGACAGATCCCAGCCACTGGGCGCCCAACTGCACTAGCCGATGGCTTTTTGACAGCGTTTTCTTTTTCATAATTTGAGGCCTTTTTTTTGCAAGCATGCTCAGAAAAATGTAAGGATCGTGTTTGCAAAATTTTGAATTATTTGACGTCGTTTTTATTTTATTTTATTTTTTAAAGATGAAAAATAGAGAAACTCATAAAAAAATAGAATATTCATTAAAAAATGGTGTCGCTTATTGCATTAATTCCTAAAAATTGTGTATTAATTTTAGAATACAAAACATAAATAAAAATGTAAAGTTTTGACCTATCCCGGTCACTGGGTGCACCATTGCCATGGCTAGGGACTTTTTGGTAGCATTTTCTGTTTTCATAATTTTAGCCCTTTTTTGCAGATGTGCTCAAAAATATGTAAGGATCATGTCTGCAAAGTTTCAAAATGTTTTCACGACGTTTTTATTTTATTTTATTTTTCAAAGAAGAAAAATAGAGAAAATCATAAAATAGAGAATATTCAACAAAAAATGGTGCAACTTACTCCATTAATTCTTAAAAATCATGCATTAATTTTAAATGCAAAACATAAATAAAAATTTGAATCTTTCACCATCCTGGCCACGGGGCCCCATTGCGCTCGCTGGAGGCTTTTTGATAGTGTTTTCTTTTTTCATAATTTAAATTCATTTTTTTGTAGACATGCTTAGACAAATGTAAGGATCGTGCCTGCAAAATTTCAAAAAATTTTGACGTCATTTTTTATTTTATTTTATTTTTCAAATACAAATATAGAGAAAATGATAAAAAAAAATATAATATTCATCAAAAAGTGACGCCGCTTGTTGAATTAGTTACTAAAAATTGTGTATTCTTTTCAGAATGCAAAACATTAAAAAAAAATGTGAATTTTTGACACATCTAGGCCACTGGGAGCGTAAGTACGCCAATTGGGAGTTTTTTGACAGCGTTTTCTTTTTTCATAATTTAAGGCTATTTTTTGAAGGCATGCTCAGAAAAAGGTATGGATTGTGTCTGCAAAATTCCAAATTATTTGACGTTGTTTTTATTTTATTTTATTTTTTAAAGATGAAAAATAGAGAAAATTATAAAAAAAAATAGAATATTTGTGAAAAAGTGGTGCCGCTTGTGGCATTAATTCCTAAAAACAGTGTATTAATTTTAGAATGTAAAACATAAATAAAAATGTAAATTTTTTACCGATCCCGGCTACTGGGCGCCCCATTGTGCTGGCCGGGGGTTTTTTGGCGGCATTTTTTTCATAATTTGAGCCCATTTTTTACAAACATGCTCAGAAAAATGTAAGGATCGTGTTTCTAAAATTTTAAAACTTTTTGACGTGGTTTTTGTTTTATTTTATTTTTTAAAGATGAAAAATAGAGAAAATCATAAAAAAAGCATATTCTTCAAAAAAAAAATTTCGCTTATTTGATTAATTTTTAAAAATCGAGTATTAATTTTAGAATCCAAAACATAAAAAAAAGAATTTAAATTTTTGACGTAACCCGGCCACAGGGCGCCCCATTGCGCTTGCCAGAGGCTTTTATGACAACGTGTTTTTCATAATTTGAAGTCTTTTTTTGCAAACATGCTCAGAAAAATGTAAGGACTGTGTATGCAAAATTTTAAAGCTTTTTGACTTTATTTTTATTTTATTTTATTTTTTAAAGACGAAAAATAGAAAAAATAATAAAAAATTAAATATTCATCAAAAAATGATGCTGCTTATTGTATTAATTCCTAAAAGTCCTGTATTAATTTTGGAATACAAAACATAAAGGAAAATTTCAATTTTTGACCCATCTTAGCCATTGAGCGCCCCATTGCGCTGGTGGGAGACTTTTTGACAACGTTTTCTTTTTTCATAATTTGATGTCATTTTTTGTAGACATGCTCAGAAAA